TAGTTGTACCCGATAGTTATACTAGTTGTACCCGATAGTTGTACTAGTTGTACAGCGATTACTATTCTGCTTCCTCTTGGTCTGGTACATTAGGATCATTAAACAACCATGCTCCTAGGCCTCTTCCTCTTCCTCCTCCTCTTCCTCCTCTTCTTCCTCTTCCTCTCCCTCGATGTTCTCCAACTGATGGATGCCTAATTGTGTTGATGCGTCCTATTTTTTTAATTATTTCTGGAGGAAATATACATTTTGCTCGGATATGGTCAGGAACAACCCAGTCATCTTTATGGAGGACTGGATAGATTGTCCTGCAGTAAGCCAACGACCAATGTTCCATCCAATAATAGTGGGAGCAAAATTCACGTAGATGGAGCTCTCTATCCCCGCTCATAAAGATAGCAGCTGCTATTGCATGCACACTCGGATACTTGTCGATATCAAACCTCTTGCAACTGCAACTTTTATTTCTCATATCAACCAGATAAACCTTTCCATCACGCCCAATCACATTGTACTCAAGGTGGTAGCTGTTTAACTCATGCACCGTCAAGGTATTTGCTTCCACACATCTCACATGCATTTCGTTCTCCACATATGGCACAAGCTTATGTGCCGTAGAAACTTCATTAGACGCCTTCCTATACTTGTTAAACCATTCAGCTAATTTCGCAATAATCACATCAATCATTGGTAACAGCGAGTATTTCCTTGCTTCTACAAAAACGCCATTGATAGATTCTGCACAATTGGTGGTGTCTATGTTATACCTGTCTCCGGGAAAATAGCATCTTGCCCATTTCTCCTCACCAACAGTTCTGTCCAGATAGTCGGCTGCATCTGGATACATTTTCCTAAAAGCACTATATAGTGTCAAGAATTCATTCTCTGTATAAGCATGAGCACAAGCTCGGAACTTCTTCGCACAAGTCGCTCTATTGACTCCACTCACATTTCCTTTCACGTTTTGAGACAAATGATATATACAAACTCCATTCTGAGACAATGGAAAGACCTCACGTATTGACTTGAGGAGACTTACGTTTCTATCAGAAAGAAAAACCAGTTCAGGAACATCTGGTACAACTGATCTCAACTTGCTCATAAACCACATCCAACTTGCCTCTTTCTCACCATCAACTACACCAAAAGCAATTGGATAATGGTGATGGTCAGGATCCTGAGCTGTAGCAACAATTAAAACACCACCATATGCATTCTTAAGGTGGGTAGCATCCACAGCAATCACTTTTCTCATGACTTGAAAACCCTCAAGACAAGCTCCCAAGGCAAAGAATAGATACTTAAACCTGTTTCCCTCATCCAATTCCACATAAGTGCGTGTACCAGGGTTCATGTACTCTAGCATATACAAATAAGAGTGCAACAACTGATAACTCTCCTCTGGACTTCCCCGCACATCATTAGCAGCTGCTCTTTTACCTCTCCATGCAGTGGAGTATGATACTTTAACACCAAATGCGTTTTGAACCAAACCAATCAGTTCTTGTGGTGCTGGAGTTTTAAGTTTGCCTGGATAATCAGAATGACAAATAGACCTGACCAACTGTGGTGTGCCTTTCCTTCGATTTTTGCTTGTAACTGTAGTAGCTCGAGAACATGTATGAATCTTGATGTACGTTCTAACTGAGAAAAGATCTGAATTCTTCGTCTTTGCAGCTCGTAAATACCACTTACACCCATCTTTTGCTCCACGACATTTTAACACATATCGACGTGTATCTGACTGGATGATATCAAACTCAAAACCATTTTTACGGGAGGCTACAAACACTAATTCTTGTAATGATTCCTTTTTGCCAAATTCTTGTCCTACAACTAAATCAATACCATCTTCCCATGTATGATTCACGTACACATCTCCTTCTACAGCAGGTGCCACCTCAATATCATCATACATACCAAAGTCTTCATGCACATTATTTCCAACATCTTCACCATCTTCACCATCTTCAGCATCTTCACTAACAACATCTTCCTTCTGCGGTTCTGATGGTTCACCTTTGTAAAAAGTATCCATACCATCATTAACATCATCACCATGTTGTGGCTCTGACGGTTGCATAAATCCCTCATTTTGCTCAACATCTGTGATGAGCTCCACATGCAAAACCCTTCTACACTGATTATTATTCACTTGCATTAGATAACCAAATACATCTTCATCATTCCGAACATATGATGGCTTCTTGGGATCCAATATCAGTGGAAAGTAGCTAAGTCTAAGCTGCGTCATAGCTCCATCTACCATAAGCTTTTTGCAAATTTTATCAACCAGCCCATTGTAAGTGATCTCTTCCATAGATGTCTTAATCACTAAAGTATGAATTTCAACCTCTTCTGAGTTCCACCTCATGTATTCACCGTCCTTTGAATAACATCCCCCCGAATCAAAACATATGATTGTGCATCGAGTGTTACTCATCGTTCTGTTAAAAGAAAAAATAAAAACCGTTAGAATATATTTATAGTTGTACACCAATAGTACTAGTTGCACCAGTTGTCTAAGTAAAACAGTTGTACTAAAAGCTTCTGGTTACAGATCGACGCTTCTGAAAGATTCATACGTATTCTAGTACTCTAATATACTTAAATAACCAATGTAAAGCCCGAACAAACGTATACATAAGTTTACTAACAGAAAAAAAAACCACAAACATAATTTCTAAACCCTAAATGCATAAACTCGTTTTTGTTGAAAAGAGAAGAATTTACCTTCAAATCACGTTCTGGGTTGTCGAGATCAGCTGAAGAAATGCTGCAGGATATGTATTTGTCAAGGGTTGAAGATCGCGGAAGCTTCCAGAGTTTTGAAGGAAGATCGCTGAAGCTTCAAGGGAGCTGTAAAATTTTTGTTTTCTGGTTTCTACGTACGAAGAAGAAAGAAAGAAGAAGAAGAAAGTGGGTCTCATTAACATTAGTTGTTGTTAGGTGGTTAGGTTGGGTAGGTTCAAAGTAAAACCAAAATTAATTGGTGTGGAATGGGTGAGAGGTGAGAGATTGGTTTGGTTTAAAGAGAGTGGGTCTATTTTTAAATAAAAGGTAAAATAAAAAGGTGAAAAATAGAGAGGAGTATGTAGAATAAAAGGAGAGTATATAGAATTTTTTAAACTCATTAAGAGTATTTGAGGTTAAAGTCATTCTCCTACTCACTGCCGATGTATATCATGAAGGAAACCATCGAAGCCATATTCATACATTCAAATGTCATTGAAACCAAAAATTGTGGAGAATAATACAGTGTCATTCATTAAATTAGGCGGTGAACATTAAAAAAAGAGAGTCAATTAGCATATTAAATGGTAGATATTTCTAGTAAAAGCACTTAGTCATCTCATTGGCTAACATGACGTGGTGGTTAAACCTCTAACATATTGTCTACATTCATCAATCAAAAAGAGTTATTTAATTATAATTTTGACCCAACAACAAAAAATCGTACGCATTAATGGGAAGAGTTTTTACTTCTGGCTTTTAAAAATTGTCAACAAAGTTGACAGAAATTGTCAGAAACATAAATTAATTTTCTCAAAACAAAATAGAAATCTGGTTTCAGACTTTGGCTTTTGAAAGTTTGATGGGACAGAAATATGTTTAAATATAAAATAACAGATACAGCCTGTAATATGGCGATAAAGATTAAGACTAAGATTAAGACGCATGATCTGTACGGTCACTAATACTATAATACTCATCGTTTCAATTTCATTTGATAAGAGCTTCTGACTATCTTTATTTTTTTGGTCCCACGTATGATCTACGACTTAACCAGCTTTCATCGTGGGTTCACTTATATGTAAATTATTTATAACTCACTTAAATGTAAATTATTTATAACTTTGCCGAAAATGGATCTTTTTTTCATAATTCATTGTGATACAACCAATTTGGCGAATTTTGGATTCATAATTGCTTTTAACTAAGGTCTCTCTATCCATATTAACTCTTTTATAAACATTTTCATTTTCTTCTCAATATAATTATCATCTGGTTAGACCAAAAAAGGGCTTAATTATCACAGTCCATGATATACGACTGAACCAGCTTTCACCGTGGGTTCACTTATATGTAAATTAATTATAACTTTGCCGAAAAGGGATCTTTTTTTCATAATTCATTGTGATGCAAACAATTTGGCAAATTTTGGATTCATAATTGCTGTTAACTAAGGTCTCTCTATTCATAACTCTTTTATAAACATTTTCATTTTCTTCATAAAATAATTATCATCTTTTTTTTTGGTACGTATAAAAGAAAATAAAATAATTATCATCTGGTTAGACCAAAAAGGGCTTAATTATCACAGTACATACGACCGAAAGATGGTGTGAAATAATGGTAACAAGGATAATAAAGTGGTAATAATGTAGAGTATTAGGGAAAAAATAAAAATAAAAAATGAGGGTAAAAGGAAAAAAAAAATTAAATATTAATTTGGTTATTTGGTTATTTTTTGTTACTCTCACCATTTTTTCAAAAGAAAAGAATAAGCTTGTGATGGGAAGATAGTGTTAGAGAGACGGAAAATAGCAAAACTTGTTTTACTCTCAATTCAGTTTTTTTTTTGGTCGAACAAGAAGGACGTTTATGCTACTACAGTAGAACTTCTATAAATTAATACTCGATAAATTAATAATCACTATAAATTAATAAATTTGCTGGTCCCAAGTCGAGCCAATGTAAAAATCCATCAAATTCGATAAGATAATAAGATAATAATTTTTTTTGAAACTCTTATGTAAATATATGGTCCCAACAAAAATATAAATTAATAATGATATAAATTTATGAAAATATATATAAATTTAATATTCTAAAATATGACTAATGTGTTCGTTTTTAGTTAAATTTGAAATCTCATTGGTTCTCATCTCTCTAATTATTATATAGGTAGCTTTTATTGCGGTTTTACTGTATACATTTAAAATTTATGATGATTTTTGATGTGATAATTGATTTTCTTACATATAAATGTTTTTAAATGTATTGTAGTGTTATCTTCAATTTTATCATCAATAATACTGATAGTAGCCATAGTTTTTTTTATAAATTTTAAACTTATAAACATGTATATTTTTATATGGATAATCCAATATGGAGAAAACTATTTTACTGTGATAGTTATGATTTTTAATCATAATTTATATTATGATATTTGTTAAAATTTTAAAATATAACATTATTCCAAAATAATTTTTAGAAAATTATATGCAGAAAACAATTTTTCTCTATAAATTAATAATTATTAATTTATAGATAAATTAATATCACGATAAATTAATAAAATATTATGGTCCCAACATTATTAATTTATAGAGGTTTTACTGTATTTTAACTCTAGATAATGTTTTTTCTCTTCTCTTATTTTATAGTCTACTAAATTTACCATTCACAACTTTTTTTTTTCCTTTTAGACAAGAAAAGACTAGAATTTTCAATAAAACGGAGTAATTTTTTCTTTTTTTCTTTTTTATCTGTTTGGAGAAAAAGTAGAGTAATTGAAAAACTATTTCTCTTTTTCATATTTACTCTAACTCAACCTAACAATCAGACCCATAACCAAAACTTTTGTTCCTAATATACTGGAAAAGTCCAAGATCTTGTAGTCAAGAGGTAAGAAGAATGATTTGGGACACTAACACGTTTCAAATTCAATCTACTTGTTATACGAAACTCCAACACATTATTTTTGGATACTTACATAGATATAGATATAGATATGGATTTTTGCTTATGGCTTATTAATTTGAATATCCAGAGAAATGATTTATCCACGGGCTGCACCTCCTCCATAAATTAGTTTTAATCCTTCTATAGGTCTGGAATTTACTCAAAGTTATCCCGAAAATATATATATATATATATATAAAAGCTTTGCAATTCAAATTTGTATGTAGGATACGTCATGTTCACATTGCTATTGTGTTGTAGATTAACTGCCCCATGAGGCCATAAAACAATTAATAAATACGAAGGCTATGGCCTAACGAGGTGATACAATACAATACTGTATATTAGGATCTTGTTTCTTCGGTAAAATGTAACAATCAAATGTAATAATTATTAAATTCCAAAAGAAAAATATTAGAAGAAAATAATAAGTCAACAAGAGAGGACAAAGGAGGCCTGAATAAGGCGAAACAACAAGATGACGATAAACTTTATATGCCGGTGCCGTACGCACCAGAATTACGTTATCGTACAAAAATGTCAACACAAAATTACGCTTTAGTATGTACATTATATTACATATCATTATAAAATATGGATTGTGAACTCAGCGCAAGTCAAAAAAGGAAAAACTGGACTGCGGTTGGTGCTTGGTGGCATGGTCTCTCATTTAGGGGAAAAACATAAACTTGTTCCATGCGCAAACAATCCATATATGTTATTTAGTTAATTGGGTTTCGGTCTGGACATTTTACATGTAGTAGGTTTGCGGATTTTTTTGTTCTTTCTCAAGTGGCATGTTCTTGATGTTCACTCAGAAAATTAGGCGAACTAAATTCAAGTATCTGTTTGAAAATTTTTAAAAAGGAAATTAGATTTTGTATATGTGAAAACTAAATCTTTCAACGTGAGGATAATTTTTATTCACGAGATCATTATATTGTTTTTGTTATAAAGACCGTGACATTAATAATATAAATAAAAAAAATAAAAACATAAATTATAAGATTCTAATCCACATGATCGTGACATATGTAAAAAAGAAAAATAATAGTATAATATTATAAATTTTCAAGAAAAATAAAATAAAATGAAGTTTGCAAAAAGGATTTATACTAACATAGCGAGAGGCAATGTTAGAGGCAATATATATATATATATATATATTACTAAAAGCAATTTTGTTGATTTTAAATTAGAATTACAAAGTCAAATAGAACTTAAAAAAAAATATTATATAAACAGATATATACGATATATATAATATAAAAAATACAACAAAAGAAATAATTGTGATAATTTTTTTTATAAATAAGTTTTACTTGCTCACAAATTATAAATCCATTATTTTCTTCTTCATATATGATCTTAATCTGATGCGAAATTATGTGCAGCAGTATCATTTATTGGTTAAACTTTTGAATTACATACCGCATAATAAAATCTAATGTTTTTGGTAGTAGTCCCGAGTCTTCGACATACCTGTGTTTTTCACAAAAGTCCCAAAATTAAGATTGTAAAAATATAATAATTGTTAGTTCTTTAATTTTATTGTTATTGTTAGTTATTTAATTTTATAAAAGATATAATAACAAAAACGAAAAAAAGAATTTGTCTTTTATTTAAACATATGTGAATGTAATATTATAAACTTTTGTATTCTTAATTATTTATTTAAAAAGGAAA